AAGCCCTGACCACCCGACAGAAAACATAAGGTGACAGAACCAAGCCCGAAGGGTAGGGCATGAAATTGGTACACCACCCTGTGATGGATGAACCAAAGATATGGATGAGACTGTGCTGAGACAGGAATATGCAGGTAAGCATTAGCAATGTCCATCTTGGTCATCCATAAACCTGGAGAAAATGCCCACTGCAGGGTGATATAGGACTCCACAATGAAACTGGTGAGGTGAACGAAGCAATTGAGGTGGGACAAATTGATGACTGACCTCTAGTCCCCAGTTTTCTTGGGAACAACAAATAGATGAGAATAATACCTCGGTGAATGATGGCCTGTTGAGTGAGGTGGTCTTGCACCGCCTCTGACAGATGCTGACAAACAGGATCCTGAGGTGAGTGGAAGGAAACGGGTACAGGGGACAAGGGAGGTTGGGCAAGAAATGGGATTTCGAATCCTTCTGACAAAACTTGAAGAACCAAAACATTGTTGATGAAAGGGTGCCATTTATGAAGAAAGACCGCATATTAAGCTCCCACCAGACCAGAACCCACCGAGTAGTCACTGGAACTGTTGTAGATGTATTGTGCATCATTGAGAAAAATGACAAGATGTGGCACATTGAGAAGGAAAGACGGGTAAAGGTTGGGAAGTGGAAGGATAGGAAACCAAAATTGGTGCCAAACTTGGCTCCAACTGAGTCAAATGGGCTACCAGATGGGAAAGGGTAGACTCCAGGACCATATCAAAGACAACATGCCATAAGTAAATCCTGGAGATAAAGTGCAGGTAAATGGGCCCTTGATAAGACAGCATCCCTACCCAAAAGGTCCCACCAACAGAAAAATTTTGTATGTAAAGCCAGAGCCAAAGACAACAAATGAGCAAATGTGGAGGTAAGGAGGGAGAGGATGCCCCAGAAAACCCCTCAGGATTTCTGTGAAGAGCCTCAGACAAGAGATGAATCATGAAAAGATACCACAAAAGAGTCATGAGAGTATGATGTGAGCAGAAAATTGGGCATGGGTTAAACTAACAGGGAATTCGGGGCCTGCCCCACCAAATTGGTAAAACAGAACTCAACAGTTGCTGGTCAATATAAGGACAATCTGCATGATCAGAAGCAAGGGCAAACTGATCCAAAGCCTGTGGGGGACTAGGCATGCTAATACCATTGTATAACTGAGAAGCGAATTGTTCAGCATAGACCCAAATGTCAGGGGATGAGGGAAAAACCAAATATGGTTGGGAAGAATGTTCATGCAGTAAGGAAGAACGTAGTTCATAGGAAATAGAAGTGAGGGATAAAACATCACCTACCTGAGAAATAAAGCCCTCAAAAAACGTGGAAGGCCTAACTGAATCCTCAGGAAAGGCACGGCAAATTCAGGAGGTGGAAACAGGCAATCAATGTCCTCGTCAGCCTGCACAGGTTCAGGAGTAAGTGGGTCAAAGTCTGGAGATAGAGGTTGACCAATGTAACATTCAATTTTCCTGCGAATAAATGTAAACAAATCTCCCATCGGATTACCTATACCTGAAGCCTGTGATAAAGCACCTGTCAAAATTGAGACACTCAAAGTGGTGACATTGACTTTGGAATTTCATGCTTCAACCGTTGACAACAGCGAATGTATTGAATAAAGGCAACTAGAATTAGATAGAATTAATGTAATGTTTAAGAAAAATGGGTATGTTAAAAAATTATAACCACTTCAAGAAATAACTATAGCTCAAACTGAAAGCAAGACAAAAAAAAAAGACGTCCAAATACAAGCACTGCCAAACAAGAAGTGAATCACGCGAGTGTACTATGCTACTAGTGGTGGAAAGGTGATGCAAGATCATTTGCATGAGACACACGTTGGAATCAACTGATTCCAATAGGGGGAGGAGAAGGCTTGTGTCATGTGTAAAGAAAAAGTTTACATACAGAGGGCAGCAATGAACGAAAATAGCTTATTTTGTAAGCAGAGGGAAGTACCATATCGAAAAACACTGTTAGTAGAAAAAACATACTTATGATAATGTAGGAACAGTTGGAAAATTGTGAGCAATATTTTGATGATAGGTCTATATTCACCTACATAATTTTCTTTGGTTTCTTGATATATAATCAGGCAGTCAGTTTCAGACATAATTTTAGAGGGAAAAGTCCAATAGGTTTGCAATACATTTCAATACAAATTGACTTCTATAATGTACTTTCTTCACAATTACATCCTGTAAATACAAGACAAAACAGATACCTGTTACTTACTCTAAGAGCCATGGAAAGCTTGAAAAAGTAGGAGACAGTGGACATTCTGGTCAGCAGAAGAGAAAATAAAAAAATTATACATTTATTATTTTTTAAATAAAAAAAGCATGAAAATGATTATCTTATATTGAATATTATTATGAGAAACAATGTTCTTGTTATAAGTTGTGTCTCACTTACAAGTACACATAATGTCAAATAAATATACACCAACATCTTCACTACTTTATATTCTATTGGGTTTTATGCAATCTAAAAAGAATTACACATATTTACATACTTATAATATTCAAAATAATTATCAGTGTGTACTCAAGAACTTGTGACACATTCCCCAATGTTGAAGTTCAATAAAAATTACATTTCGTGTAAAACACTAACTGAAATAACTGGCTTTTATATCTGATTTTTTTAAATAAATAATTTAAAGGCATAATAATTTAGCATTAAAATGAATTTCGAACAGATACTCTCCTCTGAAGTACAAAAAGCCATGCCCTAATAAGTTCATTTCATGATATCAACGTGTGACTAAGTTCTGAATATCCTTTACATAATGCAGAGCATACATGAACTTACCCATAGTTCTCAACTCTCCCACTTTACATGTGACTTATTCCACTTGCATAAAAAGGAGGTATACAAGCTCTTGCCCTCATCACCCTTCAAATATATATAAGAATGGAGGTCAGGCAGTATG